TGGGGCCAGCCAGGAGTGGGATTTGTGGGTTCTCCAAATTGCACAGAATCTTAGCCAGGGGGCTGTCTCAAACCCCTTTGAACCCTGAGCAGTCCACCTCTGCGTGTGTGTTTAAGAACATATCAGATGCACAAAAATCTAGGTGGGTATATCAATTTCCAGAATTCTCAAAAATAGCAATTCTTTCTGGGAATTTTGTGAGTTCAGAAGGGGGCCCAGCTTGGAAGGTTGAACAGCATATGGACCTATATATATACAATACCTAAATCATTACCAAAACATTACAGTGTAGTCATATTTAATACATAATCTTCCCAACCAGGGAGGACAGGAGGAATGAAATAGAGAGAGGAATGTCCAGAGAATAAGCAGTAACAATGGAAAACAGTGGAAGAGAACAGACATGAGCAAATGTGGAGTCAAAAGTTGAGTCACCCCATTTTTTTTGACAAAAAAAAAATCAATCTGTATTCAACATTACAAAAATTGCTAAATACTTGGTGTTAGAGAATCCCTTGAGCATGATCCTTATTATTTTTATTAGAAATTGGCAATGATATTGTGGATTTGAAGAGAGAAATGTTCCATATGTTGTTTTTAACACATATTTTATCTTTCAGTTTAAACATAAAAAACATGATTCTTTTTTTAGAAGAGACACAATTTCACCAGTAAACTAGATATTCAATTTAATGGAAGTAGAATTGATTATAGTCATTGACCAATTCAGAAACAACAACAACACACAAAAATTGCAAAACAGCAAGTAAAATCTGTTAAAATTTAATAAATATATGTTTTATATTTATATAATGTTGATATGCTGTGTTTTATAAATAAGAAAATAAAACACACTCACACCCAGAGAAACAAAAATCACACTGATCAGATGGTAATAATTATAAATGAAATACATTTGAGTCTCCTGGAAATCTATCTAGATGGAGAGTTATTAGCTACAACTGAGCACCTTTATAATTGTATTCTAGCAAATATGGGTTAATGTTTCAGGAACTTAAGAACAAAGTTTTTTTTTTTTAAGTGGAAGACTCCATAATTTCCCTTCAAACACAACAGTTGGAAGGGCATTAAATTTTGCCAGGTTTGGATTGTTTTGAATTTGGGAATTCAGTCAGTGTTATGATTTAGCTGAAGGCACCATGTCATTCATAAAAAATGAACAGCTAGCTAAGCATTTCCTAGTACCATATCACAACAGGGCACAATTTTGCTGCTAAATCCAATATACACATATATAACTCCCATATGGAGAGCCAGCTTAGTGTAGTAGTTGAGCCATTTTTTTTTACTACTGGTTTTGTGGGCATGGCTTGGTGGGCGTGGCTTGATGGGCGTGGCAGGCGAAGGGTACTGTAAAATCTCCATTCCTTGCTCATCCCACTAACCTGCTTTCCAGCTCCATTCTCCTGTGCAGGGCAACAAAAGAAGACCTAGCCAATCAGTTGGGACTCGGGAGGCAGAGAATAGATGGGGGTGTGGCCAGTCAGAGGTGATATTGGCCGGTTCTCCGAACTACTCAAAATTTCCTCTACCGGTTCTCCAGAAGTGGTCAGAACCTGCTGAATACCACCTCTGGCTCCTGGGCTAGAAACCAGAAACGGTGAGTCCCATCTTAAGCACAAAGCCAACTAGGTGACCTTATGCGGTCACTTTCTCTCAGCCCTAGGAAGCAACAAGAGCAAATCACTCCCCAAAACATTGCCTCAAAAACTGCAGGGACTAATTCAGGCAATTGCCAGGAGTCAATACAACCCAAAGGAATTCTTCCTCAATAAAGATGATGTGGAATTTGACTGGCACAGAATGAAAAGAATCATGCTACAAAACATTAGTGAAATATGTGGAGTTAGGCTACAAAACAAGATGCTTGGCATAATCATGAAATGAAGGAGATTATGGATAAAAAATGCATTGAGAAGAGGGATTGCTGCCAAAGAATGGGATGATATGGGTAGTTCTTGACTTACGACCACAATTGATCCCAAAATTTATGTTGTTCTGAGACATTTGTTAAGTGAGTTGTGCCCTATTTTACAACTTTTCTTGTTACAGTTGTTAGTGAATCACTGCAATTGATAGATTAGTAACCTGGTTGTTAAGTGAATCTGGTTTCCCCATTGACTTTACTTGTCAGAAGGTCGGAAAAAGTGATCACATGACCCCAGGACATAGAAAAAGTCATAAGTAAAGATTTAAAATATTTGATTGTAAATGTATTAACAGCAGCTAGGATTGTATTTGCTAAAAACTGGAAAAATGAGAAAATACCATTACAGGAGGAAATTATTAAGAAAATATTGGAATGTGCTGAAATGAGTAGATTGACATTTGAAATTAGAGAGCAAGAGGATAAACAATTTTATAAAATTTGGGAGCTTTTCTATCAATGGTTGGATAATAAAATATAATAATAGAATACTTAGAATTTTAGAATATAATGACTATATAAAGATGTATTTCTTATTTTGTTATTATATCTATAAAATGTTTCTAGTATAGATTTGGGGATGATTATATGAATTGTTATAAAATAAACTAAGTAAATTATAGTTATCTCGCAAAGTATCAATGAACAAAATTATAGTCAAATGACTGATTAAGAGTGATACTAGGGTATTCAATTTTTGATTGATAATATGAATTATTATGCAGTGTAACTGTAATTGAGACTATGAAATGGATGCACAAAAAATTTGTAAACCAACCAACACACTGTTTGTACATTTATGAAAGAAAGTTTTTATGTTTTGTTTTATGTTTTTATGTTTTGTTTGTTTTTGTTTGTCTTTAAAAACCAATAAAACTGGTTTTTTTTTAAAAAAAAGAAAAAGTCATAAGTATGAACCAAGCATCTGAATTTTGATCATACGACCATCATTTTTTGTACTTCATGTACTGCAAAGGTTGTAACTATGAAAAATGGTCACAAGTCACATTTTTCAGTGCCGTTGTAACTTTGAACGGTCACTAAATCAAGTCAAGAATTACCTGTATTGCATATTTATTTATTTATTTATTTAATTAATTTGATTTATATTGCCGCCTATTCGCCCAGCTGACTCAAGGCGGCTTACACAATGTAAAATCATATTTAAAACAAAAAATAAAAACAAAAACAATAAGAACTAACAAAAAGAATCAAATAAATTAGTAAAGTACAATAGAACAAAATTTGTAAAAACAAACAAAACAAAACAAAAACCAACTCCCATCCCCCCACCCCGACGACAGCAGGTCACACTAGCCATCTGATGGGTTCCATCCCTCTCTGGGTTCCCCAGGCCCGCTGGCAAAACCAGGTCTTCAGTGCCTTTCAGAATAGTATTAATGAGGGGGCCATTCTAATCTCTGGGAGAATGATGTTCCAGAGAGATGGAGCCACCACAGAGAAGGCCCTTCTTCAAGGTCCTACCAGGTGTATCTCCCTCAGGGGTGGACCTGCAGCATTCCCTGTCTCCTTGCTCTAATGGGTTGGGTAGATGTCACTGGCAAGAGATGTTTCCACAGATAACCCGGACCCAAGCCATGAAGAGCTCTAAAGGTGACAACCAGCACCTTGAATTGCACTCGGAAGCAAATTGGCAGCCAATGCAGCTCCTGCAGGAGAGGTGATACATGTGCACACCGGGGTCTGCATAAAACCATGCGGGGTGTTTCCTTGTGCACCAACTGGAGCTTCCGGATGCTCTTCAAGGACAGCCCCATGTAGAGTATGTTGCAATAGTCAAGATGGGAAGTGACCAGGAGTGACCATTATATACCAATGTACTGATAGAGGAAAGAATCCAGTCAAAGAGATCAAGAAGTGGTTAAAATGTAAAGGCATTTAAAAAATGAGAAAGATAATGGGAATAGAAAATGGTTTTGGAAGTGAGAGAAAAGGACTGAATAAGACACCTCTAGAAGAATGAGTAGAATTAAGAATAAATGTGATGAGATCATTTGGGATCAATCTAAAATGAGAGAATATTGGAAGGGGTAGTTTAGGGATTTCATGGGAATATTAGACATACTTTGAACAATGGAATTAAAATAAATACTATAAATGTTAGTGTCCAAGAAGAAAAGGAAAGAAAAGGAGGCTTCTAATTATAAAAACGCTGAAAAGTAGTAATTTTAGTATCCTAAGAGATTTGTTGTGATAAATATAAACATTGCAATGTAGTTAAAACAGTTTTTAATATCTTATGTTCTATTGATGCTCCAACTGCTGTTTGGCTCTGGGATTTGCAGCCTAAATATTTTTGATCGATTTGAGCTAAAACAATATGGAATAGCAGAGATACAGTCATCACACATCCTATCAAGTGTCTTACTGTGACATGTGCTGTGTGCATTGTAAATCTGGCAACCTTTATGCCATGTTTATGGCTTTATGCCCATTTGAGCAACTTTTGCATTTGAAAATATAAGAGCTCCAATTTAGATCCTGTCCTGAAAACATAAACCTTTTCCCATGAATATATTTTTGCAATAATTACAATGGGGAGGAGAGGAACAGGGAATAAGTACTTTAATGTCATGATCATAATCATATGTATCAGTCTGTCTGTCTGTCTACCTGCCCCCTCTCTCATTTATCATATCTATCTATCATCAGTCATTATCAACATCATTGTCATTGTCTACACACAGACAATGACAATGGTAAACCCACATATTTTAAGAGAAGTGTTAGTATTTATCTCTTGTTTTGTTGGGACAGAAAGCTGGTATTGAGACTGGTCCTTCCTAGGTCCAGCTTTCGATGGCTATTTCTGTAGCTTTTGTAGTTCTATCATCGGTCTTGCTTCTTAATTCTGCCACTTGTCAATCTATCTGTGCTCTGTTTACGCTTTCCCATATATCCTAAATATCAATTTATTGATGCTATGGGTTCGTTAAGTAAATAGACATTGGTTTAAATAGTAACTAATCCACACACATAATATCCTTTTTATCATAGAAGATGTACACAAATTGCTGATTATGAAACTTACCTCAGATATCTCTGGTTACCTAGCCCATATTCCTTTCCACAGATGCCTAAGCGAGGCCAGAGACATTGTGGGAGTTTGCGCTCTAGCATAATGGTAGTGGAAACAACCTGAAACACACAATTTTAAAAATTGGATAATCAAAATGTTTTAATTAAGTCAAATGACTCCGCTACTATCATATCTGGAACCTTCCTCTTTTGCAATAGTGGAAAAATGTAACACAGACTAAAGAATAACATGATTTACCATTTTGTAAATCCTCTGGAGCAGAGGTGTTATTCAGCTGGTTCTGACCAGTTCTGGAGAACCGGTAGAGGAAATTTTGAGTAGTTCAGAGAACCAGTAGAGGAAATTTTGAGTAGTTCGGAATATCATCACTGACTGGCCCCGCCCCCATCTATTCTCTGCCTCCTGAGTCCCAGATGATCGGCTGGGTCTTCTCTTGTTGCCCTGCACAGGAGAGCAGAGCTGGAAAGCAGGTTAGTGGGGTGGGGAGAGAATGGGGATTTTATAGTATCCTTCCTCTGGAGTGGTGCGGGAATGGAGATTTTGCAGTATTCTTCCCCTGCCACGCCCACCAAGCCACACCATGCCCAGTAAGCCACGCCCACAGAACCAGTAGTAAAAATTTTTGAATACCATCATTGCTCTGGAGGAGTATGAATATTTGATGGCCATATTAAACAATATTTGGAGACATTGTTCATCCAGTCCTGATGCTTCCAGAACTCTACGTGGAAAGGATTCCATGTAGCTTTTCATTGTTTATTTATCCTGCAGAAGTTTATGGGATTCTTTGTTGCCCTTAACTTCTACATAACACTCAAATGTCCATATAACTTTGGGTAATATTCCTAAAGCAGGTTTTGGAATCTCTTAGTGCCAATATGCAATGTACTTTCATGAATTGCAGCATATCCCATAGCTACAAATTTAGGAAATGATCTAAATATCGTCCACTCTGATGGGGACAAGCAGGCTCAGAATAGATTTTCTTTATTCGTTCTTCCTCCTTGCTTTGGCAATTTTTTTTCACATTTCCCTTAAAAGTTGACAGGACTTTTTTCTCTCCTCAATTTTTCTCTGATCCGATTATTGCTGTACTAATTTTTTAAACTATCCTAGCATCCACTGGTCTGGATTTATGTTGATATGATTCTTATCTGCAGGTATGCATAATGCATAAAATATGTACATGTGTACGAGTGAACAAATCTGGAAACCACATATTTATCTTTTAAAAAACCAAGTTTTACTTTCCTCCCATTCAATTATATACACTTAAAACAGGTATGATTATTGAAATGCTGTTTTCCCAATAATAAACATACAGTTGAAAAGAGTCACTGATCTGTTTGGGATCCTGGAATCACAATGTAATTCTAAATCTAATTCAGAAAGGATACTGAACACACTTTCGTTTCAATATTATCATGAGAAGATTCCCCCTTGGTGCAGATTTTTGTTAAATGGACACAAGCACCTGTTTTCTGAACTTCTTTTCTACTTGCTTTCATTAGACAGAAATTAACCTAAAGAGAATAATCTATTCAGGTCTCCTCCCCAGTCTCCTCCATCATGTACGATCAGTTAATAGGTAAAAATGCCGTCCCTCACCTGTGCTCTCCAAAGTTCATCCCGTTCATGGGCCACACGCCAGTGAGTATCCCCCATCATGGCAATAAGGAGGTTGAGCATAAGAAGGGCCGCAATAATAGCAAAAGCAGAATAAGTGATGCCGTACATAAAAGGCAAGTCCACCTCATAGTTGGCAGGTCCATCAATGATGGTGAGAAACAGCTGAAATGTGCTGTAGAGTGCCATGGGATAGCTATAAAAATGGCCCAGTTCGTCGGGGTCCTCTGTTTGGAAGATGATGTAAAATGCTGCCAAAGAAAACAAAAGGTCATGAGTTCAGTTTCTAATTAGAAGATGTTCCCTTGTTGAATGTTTGCCATGTGTGAATTTTTGTCTGCTCTCAATATCATTGTGTAGCTGCATTGTTCAGTCGGCCTTCATTGTTATTCTCCTGTTGCATGGACTGGACTGTATTGACTGGACTAGACTGTCAAGAGTGCATGATATAACTGTGATAGATATAGCTAGATAGTGGAAAGTCAGATAATCTTTTCCAGACTGAGCCAATGACAATTCTCACTGGTTTCTTTTTACAACAATTAATTTCTTGAGAATAACAGGAAGAAGGAGTAACACTTGGAAATGCTGCTAACGAGACAGAGAGACACCATTTGTTCACTCTTCAAATCATTTTTATATGCACTGGTTTTCTCAATCTGATGAAGAGGAAGCTTTTAGAAATTTTAACACAGAGAATGCTTATATTGTAAGGTTGTAACATGTGGTAAGCATCAGGGGTACCTAGAAATGATTGATTTAACAATGGTTTGGTATGTGAATAAAGCATTTATTTTTATTGTTTCTTCTGTTCAATTGTGTTCAATCTTGGGGACTTCCTGGACAAGTGCATGCAGTTTTCTTGGCACAGTATTTTCAGAAATGGTTTGGCCATTATCTCCTTCCTAGGGCTGAAAGAAAGTGACAGGCCCAGGGTCACCCAGCTTTGGGTCTAAACCAGGACAACTCCCAGTTTCTAGCTGTTGCCTTAATCATTAGACTAAACAGGTTCTCACAAAGTTTTTATTAGAGGTCATTTTATACGATATAATAACAAACTTAAAAAGAAAAGTCAAGATAAAATACACATTATTTTAGATGAGACAAAGAGAAAAGAAGAATTAAAGAATTCTCCAGAGAAGATAAATGTTTCTCAGCAAATTAAGCTTCTACAACAACAATTATCTATGTGAACAGTAAGAGAAAAGGAAATAAAAATGAATTATGCAAAAAAATAAAAATGAGTTTGCAAATAAAGCAATGGTTAGCATATAAATTACAAAAAGAAAATGATATTTAAATTACAAGAGGTATGAATGGTCAATGCAGCCATAGAAAAGTATTTCATCAATATTATTTTAATTTGTATAAAAAAAGTGACATCTCTCTAGAGAAAATAGATGAATATCTAAGGAAACAAAATTTACTAATGATTACAGAGGAATAGACACAAGATTATGAATTGACCTATAGTAATAAGGGAAGTTTCTGAGGCTACAGAAATGATTAAACTAAGAAAAGGGCCTAAACCAGATGCATTATCAGGCTCTTATTATAAAAGTGTTGATGAAGTTTTACAGACTTTTACAAAACACAATTAATTCAATTCATAGAACAACATGTGGTTTTTAAATTTGTTCATTCATGCACATGTATGTATTCTATTGTGCATGATGTACGATTGAGGATAATAATCAAATCTACATATATCCAGATCTAGAATGCTAGAATGGTTTTTAAAAATTAGTATAGTAATAATTTGGAGAAAAATTGAGGAGAAAAAAAAGTGCTGTCAATTTTTAAGGGAAAAATGAAAAAAATACAAAAGAAAAGTCTGAAGAAGGAGGAAGAAAAATGCCAAATAATTAGAAAGAGGTCAATATATCACATTAAGAGGGAGAAGATTTGGCTTTAACAAGAAATCATAGGGCAATAACTATAAGTTGCTCATAAAGATAGACTGATAGAGTGAAAATAATTTTGCAAAAATGTATTCATGAGGATCAATGTCAGGTTTTATCTAAAGGGAAATTAAAGATCAATGCACTGGACATTTTGGAATTCTTGGGCAACATAATGCAAAACAAGCTGAAAAGGCTTTTTACAATTTGAGCTGAGCTTCTTTATCTAAGTATTTGGAAGATACAAATTTTAGAGAGTTCTTTATAAAATGGATAAGATAGATCTATTCTTCATAGAAAGTACAAATAATCATTGTTGATGAAGATCTAACAAAAGAAAAAAAGTCATGTAAAGTACAAAAATGAACAAGGCAGGGATGCCCACTCTTCCCTCTCTTGTTTATTTTAGTTCTAGAAATATTGAATAAGGAAATAAGGAACAGAGATAAGAAAAAATGTGAAGATTTTGAGAATAAATGTTTTTTAAAAAGAAACTTGTAAGTAAAGAATTTTTCAGATGACTTGGTGCTGATTCTAGAAGATGCTTTAAAGAAAATTGAACTATTATTGGGTACATTTTAAAAAAAATTGGTGCATTGACAGATTTTAAGATTAATTTAAAAAACTGAATGTTAATGAAAAATAAAATAGAAGCTCAAACTAAATTGATGAACAGGTTTTAACTCTGAGAAGTAGGTTAATATTTGGGTAACATGTCAAATATGAACTATGTTATTTCAACATAGCTTTTGAAATTAACTTAAAAGTTATTCTACAATGGGAGAAATTACAATTGTCATTCCTGGGGAGAATGTATGCGACAAAAAAATGAATATTCTACCTAGAATGATACTTTTTGTTTCATTCAAAAACTCTTTTGACAGATGAACCATTTAAAAAGTGGCAAAAGGAATATTTAAATTTATGTGGCAGAGGAAAAATATAAGTTAAATATAAGGTGCTACAAGACACAAAGGAAAGAGGAGGGCCATGTTTATCAGATTTGAAACTGTTTTAGAGCTTGCTATTTGGTTTGGATGAAAGAATAGATGGGGTTTTTTTTGAGAAATAGAAGACTTTTAAAGTTAAGAGAACATGACTTGAGATTTGAGTGGCATGGACAAAATCAAGGTCAATTTGGATTTTAAAAAACCATTATGCTAGACATGCTACATTTAAGAACATAGATACAAACCCAGGTTGTGCCCAAAAATACCCTTGTGGCATTCAGCAAAAGGACATTACAGGAGGAAATATTAGGGAAAAACAAATGGTTCACTTATTGTGAAAAAATAGAATTTTGTCAAAGAACATTCAGAATAAAATCAAGAGAATAACTGGTAGCAAAGGTTTATAATGGTCAACTTTCCTCCTATTTGCAATTACTAGAAATATTGAAAAATAAAACACTTTAAAAAACTGTATGGTTTTAAACATTCTAAGATTGAGACAGAACTGTGTATAAAAGAACATGTAATTATTAAAATGTATAAACTTATTGAAATTTGTAAATTTTTATATTCTTAAAAAAACAGTACAATTATTTTTTAAAAAAAATTAAAAATGACATTGAGGGATTTGTAGTTTTATGAAATACCACATATCTTTGTGGCACTGAATTAGGTGGCAAAAATGCAAAACCACTTTAGATTCCATTTTGTGAATTGATACATTAGGATAAGCGGCACAAGAAAGGTTAAATATCCAGCCAGCTTAAGATAGGCAATGGTAATCTGTTGCAGTAAAATCTATGAGTCTTATGGCAGGTTGATGTCTAATCAATTACTCTGCCATTCACTTCCATTAATCATAACTTATTTTATCAGACTCATGAAGCTATCACCTTAAGCAATAAATTAAATAGTTTATTATCTGACAACACAGAGAAAAAGAAGATAGAGACTGCAAGAAGAAAATATTTTCACAGCATAGCAAGGAACCAGCTCCAGCCTTAGGAAAATTTTACAGAATATAGAATCCAATCAGATAAACATATTGCAATCCAATATAAAATGGTGAGAGGCTCCCTCTTTTTTCCATTATTATAATAACTATTAATTTCAAGATGACATTATACTATTTATATATAAACTTCCTATTATTATTAGTTGATAGCATAAAAACAAAAGGAAAAGTCAAAGATATGGCAACAACAGAAGATATCCTATAGCCAAGAGGAAGGAATTTTTTAATATTCCCACTCTGAAGTGCTACACTTTGCTTTGTAAGTCAAGCTCACAAGAATGTGGTCTAGAATATGTCACCTACCAGATGCAAACCCAAGGATGACCACTGCCATGAGCCAGCAGAAACGGAGGAGGTCTCCAAATATCATCTAGGGAAAAAAAACATACAGTGACTAAGCAGCTTTTCCCTCTCACAAAACTACATCCAAGGAACAGCATTCTAGATCAAAATCAAGATGCTCTGGATTAAACTGTATCATTCCAGTCCCATTCCAACTTCAAGGGATCCTTATCTATTTGCTTCTAAAGGCCATGCTACTTAGGAATTGTGGCTGCTGAAATCTAACCCATCTGAAGGGTCCCAGAGAAAGGTCATCCTGACCTCAAACCTTAGTATAGAAATCAGAATTTTGGAAACAGCCATTTCAACATGAACATGTTTAGTAGTGAAACTGAAGCCCTATAAAATAGTCCCGATATATGGAAGTTCAGTAATGGAATGAGGAAACAGGATTATCTTCGCTGTGGCATTTTCATTATTTGTTTTAGACAATTTTGACATTTTCCGTCAATCAAATCCCAGCTGTTCTTCAATACAAATTTTCAGAAATTTTCACTCAATCTGTATCTCTGCTGAGTTTTGTCTACCTCAGTTCTACCTTTTTGCTTGCAGGACTTTTCTGGTATATACTCATTTTATGGATTGCTCCTGTTTCAAGTTGTTACAGGAAAGCATATGAAGATGGAAACAGTTCACACATTTGCCTCTTTTATTTGTATTAGGATTTTATAAAGCCATTATGGTTAGCAGATTTGAACAGCTTTTCGTTCCCTTTACCTTGTCAACGTATTTATCAAATTCTTTTTCAGTGCCATTTAGGCTGGTGGCCATTACTGTAACATTTATTTTACTGCACTTTTCTACTGAACTACTGAACTCCAGCTGCTCAATATTTGCTTCTGTCTGTCTTGAATTTATTACTAATCAGGGTACAAAGAAAGCAGCCAAGCAATCTAAATTCACAATGAAAATGAACTGTGCCCTTTAAGTATTCAACATAGACAAACACAAACTTCTGAAAGGGCCCTAGAATATTCAAAACTATGAAGTCCCTTTACCTCTGCTATCTCCTTTCTACTCCCATTCTAAAAGGATGGGGAGCAGTGGGAGAGAGAATTGCAGAACAGTCAAGATTCCAAGAAGTGGAGAGCTTCCTTGAAGACGGAAATGCCCATAGGGGCATCCCCCTTTGCAATAGAAGAGAAATGAATGAATGACTGTCAGTAGTTGATAGACTGAATACTGAGAGAGAGAAAGCTTACTTAAAGGAGAAAGTTAGTTTCAGGAAGTCTTTTTAAAGGGAACCTGTACAATTAATGATATTAGATACTAATTAGAAGTGATTGGTATTTCATATAACTGTTCCAGTTAGAAATTCAGAAATATTTGAATATATGAAAAATATCAGTACATCTCACTCTACATGCTAGATCCAAAGAATAGCTGCAAAGATATGGAGAGAAGAGTCCTATTTTTCCTTACTATTGAATAGAGGATGACAGATTAAGCTGGTGAGAGCTGGGATAAACCTAAACACAATCTACAGATGAGGGCCTAGGAGAGAATTCCAAGATAGATATTCACATATTTCTCACTTGTTAAATGAAGACTGAAACTTAGATCAGAAGCTGGCGATAGCTAAAGAGATAATAGATAGATAGATAGATAGATAGATAGATAGATAGATAGATAGATAGATAGATAGATAGATAGATAGATAATCCTTATAATACTCATAGAGGGCGGTATAAGGACTCCTGTCTTAGGTAGGAGGTTGAACTAGAAAACTTCCAAAGCCCCTTCCAGCCCTATAATTCTATGATTCTATCACCTTCTGATTTGTGATGAAAAAATATTGCCAGAATCAGTGCATCAGCATATCCTTCTTCATTTAAGAACTTCATCTTTTGTAGACAATCGCTTACTTTTTGTATCATGATGGTAAAGGGCCCAAGCATCTGAAATCCTCGTGCAAAGTACATAATATTGCACCAGCCAAGCACCAGAGCCAGAGACATTGGTACAACTTCTCCATTGGTGCTAGTGAGGCGCATCACCATGGTCAGCAGAATCATGCAGGCATACACAATGCTGTAGAGATAGAAACAACAGTGAAGAACAGAATATATGCAGGGTTTTTTTTTTCTGCAGTAACATTTAACAGCAAGCCAACCACTAAAAAATAAACTTACATGATGGCATGGAAAGGTCCTCCAAGGATAGTTTGCCCAAAGTACTTGGTAATTCCAAATCTGAAGGTATCTGGAATCTGGAATAAATCCACTGATCAATGGTGTGCTCTGCTTAAAAACAGTTAGCTCATTTTCTCACCAAAGAAAGAAAGAAAA